ATGGACACCCTTATGCCTGAACATGGTGTTTGTGATGGACAAACACTTTTCGGCTTAAGTGTCTCAGATAAATAACAGAAAAAACATCCTGAGTAAATATGAAGCAAAATTTTGTTTTAAAGTGATGCTTTAATTTATGAATAGGGAAAAAAAAAATTACCCAAACCAACATGAGCGATTGTGGAAAACTCCCTCTAAACCTAAATATGGTTGCATGATAAATGGAAAAGTATGTTTTTATTGGTGTAGAGGAATTTGGTCCCCTCTTTCACACAGAATGGCTCTAACTACTTCACTTCAGAGGGTTTTAGAATATAATTAGCTTGATAAAGATCATGTCATTGTAGCTCAATCTAAACTAAGCAAAAAAAAAATGTTCTTCACTTCAAAACCCTAAATTCTCTTTTTTGAGTGGATTAGAAGTAGACTAGCACATATGTTTCAGGTCAATGTCCTGCTGCGTAATCCAAATGCGCTTAAGATTAAGGTTACACTCTGATGGCTGGACACTCTGATAAGAATTCAGGGATCATCAATTTTGGAAAGTAATCCAGGTAATGAAGCACAAAACAAAAAACATCACCTTGTTTGACTGTTGGGATGGTGATCCCTTTTCTGAAAAGCTTTACCAGGGTTAACCGTGACACACGTTTCTCTCCCTTTTGCTTTGGATTCGGCTTCTCACAGTTCCTCTTTATCATTTTGTTAACACACCCACACATTTTAGAAGTTTCAACTTAGCAAGCTGCCAAAAGTAATGCATGTACAGAGCCGGTCATATTATTATTTGATTATTTGGTAACGTACAGCACCTGCTGCTAATGCCCTCCTAAAGGGTGTAAATTTTAATTTGTGTTCCGATGAGGCTCGCTTTATATCCTGTGAATAAAAAGAACGAATAATCATTAACTATGACTGCATGTAAATTAAGAAAAAGACACGTCTAATTTCGTAGGACTGTTTTGCACTGTTGGCTGGGTGACATTGGCTTGCAGAAGAGGCGAGTGCTGTGCGAACAGATGTCTACACCAGGCATGGATAAACAAAAACCCATGAATGGGCATAATTTTGTCCCAGGGGAATTTTCTTACTTTTCCTCTCTGTGTCCTTTCTGATAATGTTAGTGTATTTTGATATCATTTATTTTCACAGCATAAACCGGTAGCAAAAGCTTATTTTTCTGCTTAACATTTTCAACTTTTGTGCATCTACTGAACTTCTAGATGTCTCTTTTTAACTACTTTTTCATTTTAAGCTTGTACTGCCGTGCAGTGATATCTGGTGTGCATTTTTTTGAGGTGGCAGAAATTATTCTTGCTTTGTGTACATCGTGGTTTTCACAGTTAATGTCTTAAATAGGGCAACAGCTTTAATTTGTGACGGAAGCCAAATTCTCCCAACTAACATGAGAGGACACACTGTTGTGTTAAAACGCACCACGCTAAGTTGTTGTTGCAACTGAGGAGGTGATTTGTGACAATAGGATTTAAATGAATATCTTGAGTGCACACTAGAGGCTGTGCCATCCCCCTGGCTATGACACAAAGGCCATTAATTGCCATGTCTTTGAGAGGACAATCTAATCTCTGAGAGGCATGGCACAGCAACTCGAGTATCCCGGCAGGGAATCTGTGGCAACACTTGCTGAAAATTAAAGACAAGGAGTTTCAAGATAAATTGATCCGAGGATGTTAAAGTGATTCAAGGACACTTATCAGCGAAGCATTATATCAGTCTAAAACATTTTATAAAGACTGACCAGTACTTTAACCAGTACAGAGGATTGGTTTTTCATGTTTTGTGTTGTAAAAAAAAAAAAAAGGCAGATAATTACAAATACCATCAATAATCAGCACATAGACAACCATATGCAGCGGTTGCTGCAAAGACTGTGCACACGTTAAACTACCAATTAGGACAGAGTTCAGTACTAAATGTCTAAACCCCCCAAATAATGACAAAAATTGTCATATTTTTATTTTGAGTTTGAGTTCATTGTGAGTTTAACTGGTTGGAGACAAAGCAGTTAACTCTACGCAAAAATAATAGAATTAATAAGACATTACACGAAAGTGTCCTTATGTATTTTAGTGGCAGTATATTTTAATTTCTTTAAATAATGTAACTCCACACGCTTCACTTAACATTGTGATTATATTCTGTTTGAAGGGAGAGCGTCAGGACTCGGATATCGTTGAGGAAAGAAACGCCCAGGTGCAGCTGGAAAAGGCTAAGGTACTGTTGTGCTGTTGCATCGTTTCCTTCGTTCCTACCATGCAGACTCGATGTACAGAAAGACTGTCCAATAGGAGATTACATCACAGAAAGGAATAATGAACGTGCATAAATCCTGATTCAATTCGATTCATGTACTTCAACTGACAGATTTCAAACAATTCTGCCATAGAGTGACGAACACGAGGCAATGAGCTTAAAAAACGATTTTAATTATAGTTATATATTGTTGCTGATGTAATCCTATAGAAGTCAAATGTCTATAGGATTGACCATTACGACTTTAAGGTGGGCCTGTCTTTGCCAGCTAAGCAATCCCTGCTGATATGTCCTGTTGAATATTGAAGCATATCATCCTCTACAGATTTAATGTACTCCCACCGGTGCTGCATAATTAACATGGAAAATTTCCCCAGCTTGTAACTCTGCTGGCCCTAAAGCCTCATCTGTGCAAAGTGAAGTAATTAGCAGCTTGATCATTATGCCACTGACATTTGACTTCTATAGGATTACATCAGCAACAAGTTTTTCAGTCAGCAATGTTGTGACAGTGGCTAACCTCCAGCAAAGATAAAGACACAGTAGACTTTTGTTCACAGCAGACACACTCATTTGTCACAGTGTGAATATAACAAATGCTACTTACAACTTTAGCCTTAGCTCTGCTGTCTCACTAATGTCCGAGAGTAAAACTGAAGTACGTAAATCAAATTTAGCCTTCATTCATTTGTACGTCTCATCACCCATAGTGCTGTACCTCTTCCACATTTCGGATTCTTGTTTTAAATAACTATAGCACCTGTTCTATGCCCTCAGTACAAGCCTGTGGCCTTTGCTGTACGTTGCAACTTCTCTTACACGCCAGCTGACGACGACAACGTCCCTGTGCCGGGCCAAGCCGTCACATTTGACGCCAAAGACTTCCTGCATGTCAAAGAGGTATGCATTGACAAAAGGCCACCATGTACTGATGAATCTCAAAAAAATTAATTACCATCACAGACTGACATGCATACAATATTGTTGTCTTTAGAAAAACTTGGGTTTTATTAAGCTTTGTTTCATATTCATTATGATAGACATGACATATAATGATGCATTTTCTATAATTATCACTGATTAATAATTATGGGGAACATCAGTGTTAAACTTTTTTATTCACAGTTCAATGTCTTGTTTGATTTGCTTTGCAATTGGAAGAAATTTAACAATGAATGGTGGATCGGCCGGCCGGTGAAGGAGGATGGGGTGGTGGGCTTCGTCCCCAGTCCGGTTAACCTGGAAACCATTCTCATCAGAAGAGAAGTCCAAGCCAGAAAAGCTGCCAAGGCCTTGGCCAGGTAGGTACACAATACTACTTGATTGAACAGTTTACATTTTTTTTAAGCAAGGAACCAGAACCCAATGTATTAAAGAAAAATTTAAATCAATTCTAGTTCATTTCTTCTGGGTCCTAGAAAAGAAATGTTAGAAAATATGTGTGAAATGTCTGAGATCTGATAGCACCAAGAAAATTGTGCATATTCCTAATCCAATAAGTCAGACTCGGTTTCCTGGTTAAATTGATAACCAGGATCAACCTAGAAGAACCACTGGGGATAAAAATCTGCAAGCTTGTTACAAAATAACACATCTAAACGGTGAAAACGATCCATCAAAACAAGCCAGCAGCACGGCAGTGGAAAGATGAAACCAAATTTAAACTGAGTCCCCTTTAGAGAAGTTTAAGTCATTCTACTTCTCATTATGTTCATTTTTCTAGCAGTCTTCTCTCTAAATGAGTGAATCTCACCTTTCAAAATTTTAACAAAGAGAGTTAGATCTCTGATATTAGCAAATAGACGTTTTTTATTTATCATTTCTTTTGTGAACACAGACATGACTGTTAGGTTAATTGCGTGTGTGTGTGTGTGTGTGTGCGTTTGTTTGTAATACCTTGTGGGGACGATTTTCCTGACATATACTACGTTGTGGGGACCAATTGCTCCTTGTGCGGAACGGAGGCTGGTCCCCACAAGGGGAAACCCTGTTTTTGGGTCAGGGGTCAGATTTAGAGCTACGGTATGAATTGAGTTTTGGTTAGGGTTAGGGTTAGGTATGTGATGGTTAGGGTTAGGAAAAGGGTAAAGGTAAGGTTTAGGCTGTAGAAATGAATGGAGGTCAATGGAAAGTCCCCACAAAGATAGCAACACAAACGTGTGTGTGTGTGTGTGTGTGGGTGTGTGTGTGTGTGTGTGTGTGTGTGTGTGTGTGTGTGTGTGTGTGTGTGTGTGTGTGCATATAAACAGTTGTTTGTGCTGGGTGTCTCTGTGTGACCATGTGATGGACTGGTGACCAACCTCGGGTGCAACCCGCCCCGCGCCCATTGAGCACTGACAGTAGACCTTTATAAGTAAAGCTGTGACCGTAACCCTAAACCTCTGTGAGATAATTAATAACTCATTTTGTGTTTCAGCAAAGCAGCAGCTCAAGCATCTCAAGACATGAACTCAAAGAAATACACTCCTCCTTCACAAGGTCAGTTTGTGCGCCGAATGAGACTAGATGCATATGGGTAAAATCTATCCGTAATGATAATCAAGTTAACATGGCTTCTTTTTTTCTGTGTGAGCAGCCAATCAGCAGGTGAAAAAGAAACCGGTAAGTGACAAAGCTAAATTGTGTAACTTTTGTGGAACAACAAAAGTTTTGCTTCACAGTCGTTACACATCAGATTTGAGGACTTTAGGCACCGTTCAAATAAACCGGGTATTTCTAAAAGAAACATAGATTTCTTTCTAGAAATGCCTGGATCCATTCAATAAGGATTGTTAATGATGATTCGCTGTCTTAATACATACATATTAAATACTTTATTTGAAGTATAAAAATATTCAGTTCCCAAACGGGATTCATGTTTAGTTACAATGAAAATAGATGTAGTGTAACGTCATGAATAAAAGACTAGAAACAAAATGTTTGGTGGTTCTGTTGGCAAAGGGCCGACATGTTTCAACTGCATCACCAACCAGTTTGCTTATTAAACATCTTAGTTCAGATCTTGGACACATTAGAGCATGTTTGGTAGAGGAACAAGAAAATTCAATATTACAATGCAACAGATGTTCTTTGTACGGCAAACCCAAAGCACAACTTGAAATTTTCAGATTGTTGAGCTCATTAAATGTTCAGTTACTTTTTCTTTTTTACAGAAAACACAATTGAATGTCAAAATAGTGTTGGATGTATTGTTTTTCCTGCTTATTTGAAACACAAACTCAGGCTTTTGAGAGAAAATGCAACTTTCTTACAACAATAACAAAGTGGATGTATTTCATGGAAACCATACGATGTGTTCGTGTCTACAGGGGGAACAGGTGGCCATGTATGATGTTGTGCCAACAATGCGACCAGTGGTTCTGATGGGACCATCATTAAAGGGCTTAGAGGTGAGATTCTTCTGATTCAACTCAATAATTATAGCAAAAATTCATAACAATTGTCACCTGAAGACAAACAGGATTAATTCATAGCAGATAATAAAATAAATCCAGATTTTTCCAATTACATCTCATCATGTAGTCAGATTTAGATTCTAGTATGTACAGTCCAGTTCAGTCTAAAAAAAATAATGAAATAATGACAAAATAAAAAAATAAATACATTTCTTCATCCCTATTAGTAAAAAGTTAACTGTCTAAGAAAGCCCAGTCAATTGCCTAGAGAGCCATCTTTCAATATGAACAAGCTTTTGCCGGTATTGCAGAGGAGCATCTCCTGTCTAGTAGGAATCCATCCAGCAGAAACAGGCTAAGTAAAAGAGGAAACACTGGCTCTGGAGCACCTTTTTGAAAGTGTGGGAGGAGAAACAAAAACACAAAGGAATTCATTAAAGCTTTGTCAATGATGACATCCAATTAGGAGATTCAGCTAAATACAAAAGGACACGTCAGGTCGGGTCTATGGGACAGAATAAGAACGATTATACAAAGATAGATGCAAAGCTCTATAAATAGCTCCATTCAGGAAAGCGACCCAGGTCAAGTCTATGTTCTAAACAAAGACAAACAAAGAGAGAGCACAGTTAATGATTATTGCAAGTAGTTTGTAAATTAATAGTAGCAGCTAATAGCCAAGCGAGTCAGTATGGCACAGACAATAACAAGCCATCAAGCTGAATTATTATTTTTCTTTGTAATTCTAGGTTACTGACATGATGCAAAAAGCACTATTTGACTTTCTAAAACACAGATTTGAAGGAAGGTAAGTTCTTCTTTAATTGTCTCTGTCGAACCTGTTTTTATGCACAGTATAACTTAATAAGAAAGTTGTGAAATAATGCTTGTTCTCTTGTATTCTCTTCAGAATCACTATTACAAGGGTGACGGCTGACATCTCGCTGGCTAAACGCTCCATCCTCAACAACCCTGGCAAGAAGGCCTTAATGGACCGGTCCAACACGCGCTCTAATTTAGGTCTGTAGTTTATCATCCAGCAGTGCAGAGCACTAATTATCCTTGGGAATTCTTTCATTTTAATAGGAATGCATGTATAAAACACAACTCTAATAGCTTCACTCATGGAAAAGACAACTAAATCAGTTCCAAAACAAGTTCATATAATTGCTTTCTGGAAAACTTGACTTCCCTTGTGGCATCCCCCACATTTTTAAAGTCCTAATTAAGTTTTTTTTCTCATTCTATCTAAATTAGTTTGAAGTGAATGTGTCAGAGCTATTTTTGTCTTTTGGCTTCTGTTGCTGCTCAATTTTTGCCTTTAATATACAGAATTGCCACAAAGTTAAATCAAACAGATCCTAAATCTGGAACCATGATGGGTGTTCTTCGCTGTTGAGTAGTTGTACTGTTATCTCAAAGATGTGGGTTATCTCAAGGATGTTTCAGAGGACCCAAGTAACCCAAACTTCAAATGAGTCACGGCTTTGTGATGCTGAGATAGAGATAGACTTTTTGTGACTTTGCTTTTACAGAATGTCTCGTGAAAGCTGCTTTGCCACTTACACCATAGTCAATAACTAGCCTGTAGCCTCCACAGATCAGGCTGACTTCGGTTTGAGTGGATTGAGTGGGTTCTTAATCTGACTGATCCTCAGAGCTTTGAGACCTCTGATGCTTTTTCTTGTTTCTTGCTCAGCAGCTTTTAGCTTGCATGTTCCTGCTTTGAGAAGCAAATGACTTAAGAGAAACGTTATTCGCTTTTATCTCCCAGACATAGTGGATGTAATAAATAATGTATGAAACAATAGTTAGTTGTTTTCACCATGCCATAAGATATATTTACTGTGAATGTTCATAACAAACCCCCATCGCTAAAAGGATGGTGTTCGCCAATCAGACCTAACAGCGGCGCGTCGACGGATCTGCAGCTGCTATTCTTTGCTTATTCTCATATATTTCTATCAGAACCAGGAAAATCTTAGTCAGAAATTTAAACTACAGCAGTTTGTCAGTTGGAAAACTTCCCAGTTTTTAGAAATTTCATCTTGTTCAAACCAGGCAGATGTTTTTTGTTTTTGTTTTTTCCTTTTTTACCTTGTGACATTATACCGTAGAATAGTCACAACCATCTCCCTGTCTACCCTGTGATCCTTTCTACCCATTTCAATAGAGGAGGAGGAAATCAGTTAAAACAAGAGCAGGGATAAGATTTACTTGCTTTTCTCTTGTCTCTCTCATTGCCGTCTCATTCCAGATGCTGCCGGTATGTACGACTGAAAGCACTGGTTCTCCTTGTGTTGTTGACAGCTCCACCTCCTTTCTGTTCTTCCTCTCATTTGCCTCATGCTTGTATCAGCTGCTGCTACCCTCTCACTTCTCTGTGCTTCATTTATAGTACATGTACACAAAAACTGACTTCATCCTGTGCAGCTTTGAAATATATAGCTAAAGTGCATTGAAGTGCTTTTGTGTGAGTGGGTTGTCGGATATGTTTTAGGACTAAAACTTGATGTCCTTTCCCGCTCTCCCTCTAGTGGACAAGTTTTAATATTACTCCTGCCATGAGTTGAAGAAATCTTGACGCATCTACCTTTGTGGTGGGAAGAAATAATACATATAATAATAACAAAAAATACAATATTTTAGTGCAAGGCTTTATGTGAGAGCTGCCAAGGTCTTATTTTCTTTTGTTGTGTAGAACATGTTTTTTTTTTTGTTTTTTTTTACATGCTTTTTATTTCTGATGTCAATTGTCATTTGCTTTGTTTGTTAGTTGTTTGCAAGTTCAAGTAAAGCAGAACATTTTTTGCAGACTGTGTTAAAAGATTTAAATCTAAAATAAATAATCTTCACAGCAAATTAGCATTTATTTAAAAGTAAGGCAACTTTTTACATTTATTATTATTATTGAATTGTTTAAAGTTACTGCAACAGTTTTTCTTTAACAGTATAGAATAAGATAAAATATGAGAACAGAGTTATAAAGATCTAGAACATTCCTACTATTGCCAGCCTCAATATGTGTACTATCATATTTAGAGGTTTCCAGTGAGATCTTGTTGCATCATGTATATTTTATGTTGTCTTAGAGTTGCAAGCTTACGTTTTGTGTTTCTGCAGCCCAGATCCAAGGGGAGGTGGAGCGAATATTTGAGCTGGCCCGGAGCATGCAGCTAGTGGTTTTGGATGCAGACACAATTAACCACCCACTGCAAGTGTCCAAGACTTCGCTGGCTCCAATTCTTGTTTATGTGAAGATATCTTCACCAAAAGTAGGTTTTATCAGTCAGGTGTACGGATTTCTCTAAATCTGTACACCTTTTTTGCCCTGCATTTGTGAAAAGAAATACTATATTTACATTTTTTTTTTATTTGTGTTGTATTTTGTGTTGTGTAGGTCCTGACGAGACTCATCAAGACAAGAGGAAAATCTCAAACCAAACATCTTAACGTTCAGCTTGTGGCAGCAGACAAGCTGGCCCAGTGTCCACCGGTGAGCGCCATCTGCTGGAAATTGTTAAAAACTACAACTCCTTCTATTCTGTTCAAGAAATGAAAAACTGGTTAATGCCATGTGTTGATGTCAAATCATTTTTTTATCTTCTCCAAAACCAAGTTTGACACTTTGTTAAAATCAATGCCAAGTAGCTTTAACATGCAGTAAAATAAGAGATGCTGTTTGTTTTCTTTATCAGTCTTACATCCCACCTTACTTGGCCACCAGTGAAGTTCTATACATTGCAATATTTATTTTTCCTGGGTGATATATAGTTGTGTTGACACACAGTACAACTATAGTTTTCCATAAACTTACTCTTGCATTAAACATCCTAACACACATTTACTATGCTCTCCAATCCATCCTGGTGTTCACATTTTGTTCTAATCCTTTCTCACCTTCTGTTGCCTGTAGGAAATGTTTGATGTCATATTAGACGAGAACCAGCTTACTGACGCCTGTGAGCACATCGCCGATTACCTTGAATCTTACTGGAGAGCAACGCATCCACCAGAGATGGAGCCTTCAAATGCACTTGTAGCACAGCTGGCTGAGAACACATTGCCTGCCTCTCCAGCGACAGCACCGGTGCCTAAAACACACAGACTATACTGTGAAAACATACTGAAATATATAAAATACTATTTAAAATGTTCCTGTCACCTCATCTCATCAAACTTCATCTCATTCGTGTGATGTGTACAGATATTTGTTTAAATTTAGAGAAGCTTTAGATTTTTTTTGTAGCATTATTTTTGCTTCATCTGTCTGTGTTTCCACCAATCCACCTAACATTTTAATTTCATGTCTTCTCATCCTACTACTATGCAAAGTTGAAGAAGAAATGAAATAGGCCAACAACTGGTGAGTGAGAGATATTGAAATATTACTGTAATCATTTTTTAGTTATGGGGAAAATGTAGAACCTTAATTACATGGTTTTATGTAATGTCTGTAATCTGTAGCCTATTATAGTTAGATGACTGCTTGATAGAAAAAAAAATATTTTAAAAATCTACCCACATAATGACAACCACAACACCAGAATATATTATCTTAGTGAGCTGACCAGTGGTTACATAAACTATTAGTGAATGGAAGCAACTGAAAGTCTCGGTTTTCTACGCATGTGAGGATTTAATTATAGTTTAAACATGTTCTCAAAAGAATGTCTCTTCTTTTAAACAAATCCAGAAGAAATCCAGGTCAACGTTTACATTTAAGCTGAAAATGAAAATTATCCATCTTGTCATTTTGAAAATGTGTCACCCATCTTCCTCACATTGTTTTCATTGTTCACATTGATCTCTCCACATTCTCTCTGTGATTTGGATTTGCAAGTTACTCAATTGTATTGTGTGACTAGTTAAATTATGTCCATCTGGTCCTTTTCCTTTAAGGATGAGCAGAAGAGTAAGAAGCCAGCTGCCTCCAAGAGGAAGGGTTCCCGTGACAACCACCTAGACAAGGAGACCCCGCCCGCCCCGGATCAGGAGGACAGAGTTGAAGAAGGCCAAAGACAGGAAGAAGAGGAGCGACTTCTGAGGACAGAACAAAAAAGACCGCAGCACACCCACCACCATCACCACCACCACCACCGCCGGATGGAGCACCACAGCCACGCCCAGCACAGCCAAATATCTGGTGGCGTGAATGTAAAGTCAGGCAGAGATTACAGCCAGAGGCCTCCAAGGAGACCCCTGCATGAGGAGAGGGAGGACGAGGTGGAGGAAGTGGTGGTGGAGGGCGATGAGGAGGAGATGCACTACAACCACCGGGGTCATAACCATCACCACCACAGTAGCAACCACCACCACCATCATCACCATCATCACCAACGCCATCGTGGCCAGCTGCATGACAGGGAAGGGTATGAGCAGGAGCACAACGAACGCAACCGGCATCAGAGGCATCACCAGCACATCCCAACACGGACACACCATGCAGACCTCTATCCTGCACACAACCATCACAACTACCACCACCAGGGCAGAGATCGGGACAGAGACAGATACAAGGACAGGGAGAGCGATCGGGATCGAATCAGAGACAGAGACGCACGTCAGTGGCACAAAGATTCTTACATGGATGACTGATATGTTTCTACTCCCAAGCGGATGCACAGTTTTATGCTGCCCATTTTATAATGCACTCATAGGTGAAATAGTCACTTTTGAAGGTAATGTATTCTTTCATACTGTTTATTACTCTTTAACACTGCAGCGTTCTCTCCACACAGCCTGATTCACTTGATCTTCTACAAAAATAGAAGCAAACTACAAATTCTAATTCACGCCCTCAAAGGGGGATTTGCTTCTCAAACTGTGTTGCCAAGCAGATTACAAGTCTCTGCAACATTTCAAGGTCTGCATGCATTTGTAGGAAGTATTTCCAATATTTATTTCAGTTTTTGCAATTTAAAATCATTGGATTTTACCACAAATAGTTACTGAGAAACATTTAACATCTCATGAATTCTGGTAAGAATTCTACATCAAATTTGGAGGAGACAAAGAAAAAAGAAAAATGCACTGCAGCCTTTATAAAATGAGGGCATAGATGGAACCTTTCATTGACTCAGGAGTGCCTGACTTTTCATATGATTTCTGTAATCTTCAAATACATGTTCAAAACGCTACATAAAATCTAGCAATCTTTGTTTCAGTCTCACGGTTGTCCCTCTGCATCTGCAGTTGTGCAGGTTATTAACATGGAATAGATATTTCAAAATTGCCATCCCTAAATTTTTTCCCTTTTGATGAGGTGAAAAAGATGATCCTTCAAGCTCTGTAATACAAAAGTCTGTCTTTTTCTCTTTCACATTATGTGCCTGCTGTGTTTGTGGCTAAAGGTAACATTTGGGTTGTGCAGATTTTTTTTTTTTCTGTATTAAACCTACCATTGTCGACGGGCATCTTTGCACTGTGACATAATCAGTGCTGTTTGCTTTATAAATTAGATGCAGAGAAAGTGCTGACACCTGGAGCAAATAATGTGCAAAAATCTGTACCTATAAGCAATTTCAGTGCAACCCTGCTGAATAACCCCATATGCATTTATTTTTTAGCCTTTACAAAACAGAAATTAGACACGTTTATCCTCATTTACGTTACTTGAGGTTCTTTTTATTTTTTATGCTTATCTGGACAAAATAAAGTTTTGTTCAGTACAATTTTAACATGATTGAAAATGACAAAACAGTTCTTTTTGTATTCCATTTTTATTGTCAATTCTTCTTTACATATTGATCAAATATGATAAACAATGCACATACCTTTTACAAGTTTATATCATCAACACTAGGCAATACATTTATCAGTCATCAAAAAATTACAAAAATCATTAATTTCCTCCTAAATCAAAACCACAAACATGAAGAGAACTTAAAGAATTAACTGGAAACAGCTAATCATTTATAGAAAGGTTTAGCTAACAAAGTTCTAATTGCTCATTAGTTTCTGTGTAGCAGATATTTGAATTTCATCTTTAGCTTGGATTGGGTTTAAAGTAAAGTCATTTAAAATTTTGCAAATCAAAATTTCAACATTGTACAAAAAAAAAAAAAACAATTTCTTTCTGAATATTTCAATTACACATTCAGGAAACCACTTTATGTGTCTTCCCCCATTACAATTTTTTCTTCACATTTGCACTTTAATTAGTCTCAGAACGCTATTGCTTTATTTTACTTTAAGCACTAAAACCTAAATATAGTACATATAATTTTAATATAAACACATTTTCTGCTCTACTTTTGGAAAAGTCTGAACCTGTTTGCCGTCTTGCATTTGGTCTGTCTGGAAGCATGACTAATCTTGTGGTCACACTCAGTGTATGCAGGATAATCTATGCATTTAGTTGTGATAAAACATGTTGCTTGAATACAATCTATGCATTTGTACATACTTCATAATTGCCTTGCTATTTAAATGAAGGGAGGACTTGAGAGTCTGTTACACTACTCAGTACTGTAGACCTAATGAGTATGACTGCATCGAGTTAACAAGACTGATTATTCCTTTGTAGATTTATTTTGTTTATATAATTTTGTACAGCATTCAAAAGTTCATTTTGACAGATATGTATTCTATTGTTAAAAATCATTAAAATATATTATATGCTGTCTGACATTTCATTTTAAGGACAGGAGCCCTTGTGTGACATTTTACTGTGTAAATTGAGTTTTGGTTTATTCTAATATTTAAGGACAATAAAGACAAAATTGCTTGAACACTCACTGATGTTTAAGATACTGGAGGTTTGGCAGCTTGGAGGCTTGGACTACACCCCTACCCACTCCATTGCACCAGAGCGAGGAAGAAGACGTACAAACAAGTACGGCAAGCTGAGTGTGTGATTATTCAATACCTTTGATTTCAGTTGCCATTTCGCTTACTAATCTTTGATTATGTTTCATTAGGTTAACATTTGCTCACTAGTGAGATGATAAAGTTACTATGTTAAAAAAAAAAAACACTAAGTTAAAAAAGCCCAACATTTTTAGCATACTAAATTACTATGTTCGCAAAAACTTAAACGAGTCAAATAGTGAATATTGTAGGTCCTTATAGTCACTAAATGCTTTGGCTAGACTAGTCGGTGTGCAAATTTCAAGGAGAGCTAGAGGCCTAAAGTAATTTTGACTAATTAATATTTTTTTGTTTTTGTTAAACCAAAATTAAATTTGCAAACTCAGCGGCTAGTTCAGTGTAGTTGACAACTACTGAAGTGATTTTCACTCCTTGGAACAGCTGTATTACCATTGCAATATTTTGGCTGAATACTTCTGCTACAATTTATTGGACAAATATGAACACAATCTGACAAAAAAAATTATTTATGAACTAGCAAACACAGCGTGCTACTAGTGCAGAACAGATGCCAATAAGTTGACATCAAGAATATTGAACTTATACTTAAACTTGTTTTCAGACTAGAGCATACAGAGAAAAAGAAAATTTATACCAACACTTTACTTCCATATATTTTGGGTCACTTTACACAAAATGTCCTGCATTTTTTCCCAGCCATTCAGATGATTTCATCGAATAAATGAATAAAGTTATGGAAGAACGTAACCTAAACGGAATTTTTTCATCAGTATTTTTTTTTTTATAGTTATAAAGATATCACAGGTCTGAGTGCTCTCTTAAGCTGCGTTCTCCTCTAGATTTCTATTGTCAACCAAATCCAACCTACTGTTGCTGAAGAGTGGGTTGTCATAAGTGGCTAACCTCCGAGTAATTGGTAAGTGATGCCTGGACTTCTTGAAGAGAGCAAACACAATGCCTGCTCCCACTGCAGCCCCAGCAACGAGAAAAATTGGTAAGAGTATGCGGCTGTGATCTTGAGAAGCTAATAAAACACCTGCAGAGATTTAAAGATCACATTATAAGGAACATAATGAGGAATGGCTTTTTTTTCTTTCTTTTTTTTGCCATATTTATCGCATTACTTACGAGGTGAGGGTGACGCCTGTGGTGGTAACACTGAAGAGGAAATAGGATAATAAACAATTCTACAAAAATTACAGTTATACTGAATAATTCATGTATAACTGAGTAAAATGAACACTGGCAAAATTGCTTGTTCACATGTTATGTGGATACTGTAAAAGAACAGGCAACCATGGTTTCACAAGCAGGACATATTGACTCTGATCTCCTTCAGCCAGTATGTGGTCCAGGTCACTGGCTATTTGGTAGAATGATTTGTGTCCAAGCTTTTATTTCTTACCTCGTGGCTTGAGAAGTCACTTCAATATTTCCTCATGATATGATCTACAGTATTTTGTGAAGTGAACCACCTTTTTTTGCAGCAAAGCATCCAAAGCAAACCTTGGTGCTGTAACCCTGATACCTTCAGATTTTGGAGATTTCAAGCTTTTCACAATTTCTCTTTTTTTGTATCTCACGTAAGAAATCCAAAAAAACAGGAAGTGAGTCAAACTGGTTTAATGTGCACAGCACAATTTAATAGTAAATCAAATCACTGTTCCTGAGTTACCTAAAATCCTTCCTTTTTGCAAGTCTTGCAAAAAGGAAGTCTTCAGAATGCTGACCGTCATTTTTAATTTCTCAAATCCAGTTTCTGATTTCCTCATTTGATTCAGTTAATACTTCAAGTTCACATTCAAAGTGTGTCGTGTTGTCCAAGAAACACTTTGAAATTAAACCTCGGCAAGAGCGACTGTAATGCACAAACACAAACAAAAAATAAAATGAAACAAAAAAGGAACAAAACAATGATTATTTTCAAAGAAAAGCAAAGTTATTAACATTTTGAGAGGGTACATCGGGGTCACCAAAACAATCTGAAAGAATTTGTGCAGAACTTCTTTGTGATTCATTTCAAGGCTACCTGCTTCTTGCCTCCACGGGGTGATGCATGCTTGGTCTCTTTTCACATTTGAAACGTCTTGTTATCCCAGGTGATGAACTAGCACACACAGACACTCATGCAAATAACCCAGATGGATGAAGGTTCATATTTATTTATGCATCCTGTCTATTCTGACGTCAGATCCAAACTTACGTTTATAGTCATTCATGCAATTTAGCTACCATCTCCAGATATAATTTCTGTAGAGCAAAGCCGCCCTGGCACACTTTGGAAACCAGCTTCTTCATTGTTACGCCTTACTTGTTTTAGATCAAAACCCATCTATATTTTATATAGACATATATTTTTATATGTTTGTTAAAACAGTATACTAGGAGACAGTTAATATGTGGAAAAAAAAGAGCTCCTCTGCCTCAAACAACTTTGAGTTCAGTGTTTTGCCCAACATCAACATGAGGAAGGAGGAAGCTAGAGCTGGAATCCATGTCAAGCAAAACTGTCTAATTGCTGCTCTTTGGTTGCGAGTCTTTCCAGGTTGAAATAGAGATATTAGAACTTGAATATTATATTATCAAAACAGAATAATTACTGATGATTTGTGAAACATTTCCCACCCAAATTATAGCACATTGACCCTTCTTGCCATTGAATTCACAAATTAAATCAATTCCATTTCATTCATTTTGTTTTATTCATATAAATCCCATTTCAAACAAATGTCATTTTAAGGCAATTTACAAAACAGATCTAATTCATCAATAAAATTATAGTCAAACAAAAAAAAAAATAAAGTCATTCAGACATATTTAAGATCACATTCCTTCTATATAAATCCCTCTTATAATACAATATGGTCAACACCAGAAATGAAAATTAAAAAATTCAAATAAAACTGAAAAATGAATAGCTTTATTAGCAGATTCCATTTTATTTTATTTTTTTACCAAAGCAACTAGTTGACAGGAAGTTTTGTTAATTTTAAATTTTTTTTTCTTTCAAATATTGATGGATTTTTTTCTGCTAACCCTAATTTCACTGATTATCATGTCAGATATAGATCATTCCTCTTTAACAATACCAGTAGGAACATTCACTGATGACTGTAATGCCAGCACAAGACTTTTACATTAATTATTGCCAAGTGTATAATTTCCCATAAGTCATTTTTTGATCAACTGTAAATATCACAACATATAACATTATTATTTCAAAATTTATAATCTCTTGCAATGATTTTGTTTAAATAACTGTTGGAAAAATACTAGTTAATTATCATTTATTGATCACATTCATTTGATTTATCATGTACTCATTTGTTGCCTTTTGACCTTACGCATATCCTGGTTTCAGAATAACATTACATATTGACGGCTGAAGTGAAACTTACACATTGCAGCATTATAGACGTAAGGAAGCAAGTTCGTAAGTTCATTTCCTGCAGGAGATGAGGACTGTCAGCAAAGATAAGAAACCAATGGTGCTACGTGTTTTTGCAGGGTTGCAAAACACAACCTTACATCTGCGCAAATCACGTAGGAAGTGTAGCAAGATAATATCCTTTGTTAGTCAGAGAATGCTCTGACCCACCACCTGTGTAACTCTTTGCATTTTCTCCATGCTGGGAAGTTTAATTAAAGATCTATAGAGACTCTCTAACTTTTGTGAATTCTGTCTTGGTTGTTCTTTTTAGCAAACAAATTTTTCTAACAATAATCTTTGGAGAGGTGTTGTATCATTTCTAAGTGAATGACTGCGTTGAGTCAACGAGTGTTCATGTCTTCTTCCTCGTCTGGCAAATAAGCTTTTGCAGTAGTTAGAATACAATATAGATCCAAGCGACTTGCCACATTCCAGCTAATTGTTGTCACCTTCTTGTATAAATCATTTTTTGCATTTACATTGATTTTATGACTGTACAAATGCTAAGCAGCCCAAACAGAGAATACTTCCATGCACCATCTGCTGTCTTTTACAATTATATAGTTATTACAGGCTGACTGTTATCTTCATCGGCGTTCCCCAATAGTTTTTTAGTGTCCACCAAATCTTTCTGTGTCCGGTTGCTGCTGAAGAGTGGGTTGTCGAAGGCCGTTAGCCCTCCAGGGATTGGTATGGTCATCATCTGACGACCAGACTTCTTGAACAGGAAGAAAGCAACACCTGCTCCCACCGCGATCCCCACAATGACTAACACAGCAGATAAAGCTGCGTGACCCCGACCTTGAGGACTCGAGGCAACACCTGCAGAGAAAAAAAAAAGTAGATTATAAGGAACAAAAAGATTTTTCCCAAATAAAAAGAGATGAAAGAATGACTTACTTGGTGCGGATGATGGCTTTGACAGCAACACTGGAAAGAAAAAGAAAAGAGTAATACAAAGTTATAGAACCACCTTTGAAACATCAGTTTTTAACACCAACAGAGGTATCAGTTCATAAAACCCTGAGGTCATAAGAACAATCTTTGGAGATTGTAGTGTGCTAGCTGTGTAAGATAAGTGGTGCATATGGCTCTAGATCTCAAGATCTGGCAACAAAATGTTGAAGTGACCTGAAGGAAAAGCAGTTCCAGGTCACTTCAAAATGTCATTGCCAGAAACTTCACTCCAGGCACCACAGGTCTCTTCAAAGAGTTGGTGAAACACCAGAAAAATGTAACGCAATTCCAATAAATAAAAATAATAACATTTAAGTAAATTTAACATTAAGGCTATTTCTATTTTTCCCCTTTTCATAAGTAAAAAGTGAAACACAAAATAGTTGCCATCTACCCTAAATATTTTTAGAAAATGGA